CGTAAATTAACAACAACAACAATTATTTAATTCTTGAAATTTTTAATGAGGATTTCGTCTGTATATTAATAGTACAATATTTATATTTTAGAGTGAAATTCGCATATTGCATAATTATTAACTAAAACCCAAAGATACAAAATAAAAGGTTAGTTTAATCATAATTGTTCGACCACTTTCTCGTAAAGTATTCAATATTTCGCAACAATGGGTTAAGTTGCTGTTAGTCACATTCATAATTTTTTGTATTATATATTTTATTTATACTTTTTATGCAAAATGTGGTTATGAAAAAAGTGGTTACTAGTGTTGACCACCACTGGCTTAGAATTTTATATTGAAATAACTTTTAGCGTATTAAATATTTAACAATTGCAATAATGTATGCTTACCGAAAGTCTCTAAATAACTATTTTCTTTTATTTTATAATCGTAGTTGAACAGGCGACCCAATTTTGAGTTTAGGACTACGTTCAACTCAGTAACCTCGTAGTGTTGAATCCAATTCTGAAGATAAGGGGACTCGTGGATCAAGTATTGTGATAAATTTCCTTCGTGGAGGACTTTTTGATGAAACTAACTCGCCTTTACGTTACATGAAAGGGGAAACCGCGAAAACCTCCCACGGTTAGTCTGACCGCAAAAGGGATTCAACCCATGATCTGTCTACCACTGAGAATATTTTACATCAGCACTGTGGTCGGCGCAAGTCATCACTGGGATTCGAACCCGGTTCATCTCATTGGAAGGTGAACGCTCCTATCCCCTGAACCAGCTCGGCTCCCAAATAACTATTTTATTTTATTTTACAACCGTCGTTGAACAGCCGATTCAATTATTGAGTTTACGACTATTTAGTACCGATTTAACAAAATGGATATTTTTTTAGTATTTAGCAACCACTCTAATTCTTTTTTAAAAAGCTATATTTTTAGAAAAAAAAAACTATCGTTAGAATAATCCAGAGAGACTGAAATGGAAATATGTCCTTTAACATATAAAAACTTCCTTAGCTTCAAATGTTATGAAGGTGGAAATAGTCAAGCGCTAAAAAATAGGCACCCAGTTTCAAGATTCACGGGAAGCGAATGGAATAAAACATATTTGAAAATGAAAATACAATGCTGCCAAGAGTGCCAAAGAAAAAAATTGAAAATAAAATAAAAGTGATAAGCAAAACTAAAAAAAACTTCAGTCACCAAGAGAAGAAATTCAGAACAGGTTGCATTTACAAACGCTATCGAAGACCAATAAAGAACTCAAATTGTTCATCACGAAATCAGCCTTCACATGAATAAAACAAGATTCCAAAGCACTAAGATAAGCTTATTTGTTTGAAGTGGTAAGAATTTTGCTGTTATTGAAATTTATGTCCTAAGTTTAAACAATTAGGGAGAATGATATTTCGAATTTTCAATGACGGGCATGTCTATTGAGTTTCCCTTAAGGCAGTTTTTCGATGGCTCCGTCGTAATACGAAATTATGCTTTTTTGAGAATAATATGCTTTTTCTAAAAACTGCTCTGAGTTTGCAACTGTTTCTTATGACTATTAAGTTAAGCTCAGCCTATGTAAAGCCAGCGCTGTCTAAACTTATAAGGAAAATGGCACAAAACGTCAATATGAGAAAAACCACAGTTTTGTGAAAATGAAAAGCATTTGTGGTCCAATTTTTTAACATTTAAAAATTTACTCTAATGCTGCATTACCTCGTCTCATAAAAATGTGCAAAAACTGAGAATACGGCAGTGATTTTGATAATTTTCATCTGGGTGGAAAAATGTCACTAAATTTGTGATTTCAAAAAAAAAGTTTATTAGCTTTTAAAAAATATTTAAGTTATTTGTCTGTTCTAAAATCCTGATGATTCTTAACAGCAAGATTAGATCTTTGGTTTAAAATCTTCACATTGCTTCAATAGTAAGGCATTTAAACTATGGCTTTTTTATTTTCTTAGGCGACAGAAAGCGTTAATCAAAATTTTAAAAAACGCCTGGTTTTTCCCGATGTAGCCAATGTTGTGTTCCTCACTTCACCTCCATTGCGCTTGGAAATGCATTCTTCTCTGAACCACCTCACTCGGCAGCCACGGTTTTCCTAGTTTTGTTTCTCATCTTTATTTTCCATTTTTTGGTTAGCAACATAGCGTTTTTTCTCAAATTTGTTTTGTTTTCCTGATTCACGTTTGTGAGTCTTGAGAATGAGTGCCCATTTTTAAGTCTTCGAGATAAGGACGCTTTTTTGAACCTTTATAATTTTTGAAGCTATTGAAGTTTTTATGTTATCAATTATATCGATGATAAAAAAATTGATTTCTTATTTTCATATTAATTATAAAAATAAAATAGTCCAGTTTCTAGACTTCGTCATTTTTTTTTTAAAAGAAGGAAAAAAAAATATTTTCCAGAAATGGAAACATTTGTGATTAATTCGTTAATTAGATTCGTTTAATAATTAGCTATAGTATAAGGACGCAAACTTTTGCTTTTATCATGCTCTACTGATCTTCATCTGTATGTTAAAAATATTTTATTTTGTTTGCATTAATGTTATTTTGGTTTAGTTCTAGAACTTATGTTATTTTGCCACGTGCTGACAAAAAGACATTAAACACGTCATCTGAAAAAACATGAAACAGAGTTATACATTTTTATTTACAACTGAAAAATGTAGAAATGAATCACACTAAATTTTATGTCTTATTTCAAGAATATACAAAGAGAAAATTTCTTAGCGTTCGAATTTTCTTTTTTTAACCTTATTGTATGTTTGTTGCCTCTGAAAGATGATATTTTCAATAATAAAATGAATTAAAATTTTTTTAAGTAATTAGTAAAGGCGATTTTCACTCATGATTGAAGTAAGTTTATTATGGAATTGATGCATTCACCTTTGTCCGCTTGATTCGATTGTGCACTTGAAAAAGGTAATTTTTTAAATTTTAGTTTTACTATTTTTTTAGGTGTGGAGAACTTCATAATTCGATACGCTGCTTTCTTGAATTGTAATTATGTTGCGACGTGTTTATA